GCCATCTAGTCGTCTGTGACTCCTAGCGACGCTATGCACAGCAGAACGAAATGCCACCTGGTCCTGAGCCAGCTCCACGACTCTTGCTACGCTTGAGCCCATCACCGCCACCACCGTGTCACTGTGTCGGACAGTGTTTCCACTGCTAGTTGCCAAGCTATTGATAAAGTTGCCCAGTAATGTATCAGACAGTGGTTCTCTGCTATTCATAAGGTTTTCCCTGGCCAATTTTTGAGAAGTGAATGGCCGCCGCCTCCTTTCTAGTCTGTAAGCTGCATTGAAACCTGTGCACAGCCTCAAGCCTCACAACCACGTACAAGCTTCACGGGATGACAGACTGACAGAGGAGTAGTTTGTCTCCTTTAGCTCTTGGTTTATATGCCCTGGGATAGATAAAAAATCCGTGTGACTCACTTTATTGCGATATTTGATTTATTGCAGTGGTCTGGCACCAAACCTGCAGTATCCCTGAGGTGTGTCTGTATTAACTTCAGTTCACAGAAATGGTAGATAGAAGGGGGAAGATTTGCTATCGAATGAGTAGGATTAATTTTCTTTACTTAGAGAGACACTTACAAATCAATAACAAAAAGGTGGGAAGAATCTGAATGCAGTTTACAGTGGAAGACATTTAAACGGTCCGTAAAAATGAAAAATACAGATTTTTATTCAAAAACTTTAAATAGTCAAAATTTTTCTTTCATCAGATTGGCAGAAATTACAGTTGAATACCTACTGGCAGCAGTGGTAGAGAGAGACAGTGGTAGTCACACACATTTAAGGGAAATGTACGGCATCCTCTCTTTCGGGGCACTGTGGTATAGCATCAGAATTTACAACCTGTTACCCCTTGGGCCAACAACCCAGCTTCTAAAGGTTGACTCTGCAGGTAGATGTACTGCACCAGTAGTATGGTGCCCGTAAACACACGCAGTGCCTGACGGTGGGAGACAGCACGTTACAGACTGCCCGCCTGTGACAGAGAACTGCGCAGCCATTCCATACACTCGGGATTTGGACTCCCCCACACACACTCACTCTCGGGTTCTCTCCTTTTGGGTATTTTGTAGTGACAGGTTGGGACGGGGCAGGGTGGGGAGGGGGTGGGGTGCGTCTGACTAGAGTCAGGTTGGCTGGGAAGAGACGTGGCCCTAACGAGTTCAGACACCAGCTAGTGAAGGCCTGGGCCAGGGTGGTGAGACTGAGGAGAGGGTGTCTGTAGATGGAAGTGATTCCTAACTGTTTTCTTCTAATCCCTTTAGGACACATTTCTTTCATGAATTTACATTTAAATGGTTTTTTTGGTAGTGGAGCCGCCAGCCCCCAGCCTTCAAGGATTCCGGCATGTCAGCGGGGCGTGTGAACACATCAGGGCATGCAAGCAGCAGGTCAGCGGGGCGTGAGTGGTAGCAGGGCACGCGAGCAGTGTGTCAGTGTGCGAGAACAGTGTCTCAGGCCGTGTGAGAAGTGTGTTGGCGTGCAAGCGGCGTGTTGGGCGTGGGAGCGGCATGTCGGCCATGCGAACGATGTGTCAGGGCTTGCAAACAGTGTGTCGGGCGTGCGAGTGGTGTGTCAGCAGAGCTGGCTTCATCAGTGTGTGTGGACTCGTGACGTGACCGCTTTAGTGTCTGCGAGAATCACCAGGAACAAGGCTCTCAGTGCCATCCTTCATTCTAATCATTTAAATCGCAGTGAAACAGATTGTCCCGTCTTTCCTGTCCGTTTTTCCTACCCACGACAGTACTTGGCAGTATTCTAATCTGTCACACTTCTTCCTGTCATTGGCCAGAGGTGAGGTGTCTTCACGTGAGCAGAAAGTTTGGCCCCTGTGGTGGTATGGCTCACCAGGTATGGGAGTGTACAGTGAAGGGGTTGAGGCCTGCTGCCGTCACGCTCTGTGACGCCCCTGGGTGACTGAGGAGATCATTGTGTATCCCTTCTGGGGGCAGACTTGGGGCTACAGTTCCATCTGGTCATAACTCTTCTCCACTGAGGGTGAGTTTATCATTCTGACAGAAATGTGGACACAAAACCAACCTGGACTCCAGGCAAAAGCGGCTTTGGGCCAGAAATTGTGCATATGTTAGGTTCCCTTGGTTTGGTGTGTCTGCTAGGGAAAAGGCACACACAGCTGGGTGTAACATGCTTTTAAAAAAATAGTTTAATTCTGTGTGTTTCACTTTAAGAAAGAAAAATCTTTCACAGTATTTTCAGAGAATCTTACACAGTAGTGTCTAGATCTTGCCATTTTCCTGAGGGTCTCCTCTCATACATTTTCTTGAAAATTGTGTTTCGAGAAGAAAACAAAATGAATTTGTTTCACGGTTTTATAAATACTGTTTGCCTTAAGAGGCAGCTGGGGTCTCCTAACTGCTTCTGCATTCAGTTTGCTGTACTGTGTTTTGGTTGAAGTACGTGCAGAAAATGCAGCCTCATGCAGATACGCAGCTGGGAAACAGAACCTCCTGGACCCCCTCAGGGCCTCAGGTACCTCCAGGGGTCCTCAGACTACTTCTGAGAACCACTGATTTAGTCTAAAAGAAAAATGTACCATTGTTCAGAGATTGGAAGAAGGATGGGGGGAAATGTGTCTGGCTCTTTCAGTAAAGGTTTATCCAATGTCATTTATTATTTGTAGGTTAAAAATCCTTCATGAAGAAGAAAGATCTTAAGCAACATGATGGGTTCAGAAGCTCATGAGAAAAGGCCGCCGATCCTGACATCCTCCAAACAAGACCTGTCCCCTCACATTACGAACGTTGGTCCAATGAAGCATTACCTGTGTGGCTGCTGTGCAGCTTTCAACAACATAGTCATCACGTTTCCCATCCAGAAGGTCCTCTTTAGGCAGCAGCTGTATGGAATCAAAACCCGGGACGCAGTGCTGCAGCTGAAGAGGGATGGATTCCGAAACTTGTATCGCGGCATCCTTCCCCCGTTGATGCAGAAGACCACAACGCTGGCTCTGATGTTTGGGCTGTACGAGGACTTGTCTTCCCTTCTCCGGAAGCACGCCAGTACCCCGGAATTTGCCACTCGGAGCATGGCAGCGGTCCTCGCAGGGACCACAGAGGCCGTTTTCACTCCACTGGAAAGAGTTCAGACATTGCTCCAAGACCACAAGCACCACGATAAATTTACAAACACGTACCAGGCGTTCAAGGCTCTGAAATGTCACGGGATCAGAGAGTATTACCGAGGCTTGGTGCCCATTCTCCTCCGGAACGGATCCAGCAATGCCCTTTTTTTTGGCCTTCGAGGCCCCGTGAAGGAGTATCTGCCTACTGCCACGTCGCACAGTGCTCACCTGGTCAACGATTTTATCTGTGGGGGCTTACTGGGGGCCATGCTGGGGTTCCTGTTTTTTCCAATCAATGTTGTGAAAACACGCATGCAGTCGCAGATTGGCGGGGAGTTCCAGTCCTTCCCCCGAGTTTTCAGAAAGATCTGGATAGAGCGGGACAGGAAGTTGACAAATCTTTTCAGAGGGGCCCATCTCAACTACCACCGGTCCCTCATTTCCTGGGGCATAATCAACGCAACTTATGAGTTCTTGTTAAAGGTCATATGACAGACATCAACAGCTAAGTGCCATTTGTCACCTGCTGGACCTTCTAAGAACACAGTTGGGCCTTATTACAGTCGGCCACATACAAGTGCAGGGCACTGTGAATTATGGGCAAGGCTGTTTTTCTTAAGCATCAACAGCAACAGAACGAAAGGTTTCAGTAGAAAATTTAAAGTTTTTTTTTTTTTTCTCTCCTATCATTATCTGAGAGCTTTAGGCTAATGGTCTGATAATGACCATCTATATCTGATGGTCTGTCAGGGAACCTAATAGCCAAGATACAGTTTTTTCTTTTCTAAAACCTCTACGAAAACGTAAGTAGCCATGACTAGCCGGAGAAAAGGTTTTGGTGACCTGGGCACCTCTCGGGCTTATTGGTGTTACTCCGTTGCTGGCATCGCTGGCCTGCTGGGGCGTTGCAGAGAGGAGTCTTGGTTAAACTTGAGCATACATGCGGTACCACACAGGAGTAGAGCAGAGAAGAGAAACGGCTTGTTAGGAACTGGCCTTTCATGATAAATTGCTTTTATTAGCTTTCACGCTCGGCACCTCTTGACATAGTTATTACCCAGACTCTCTGTTTAGACTTGATAGAATCAGGCAGCTCATTAAAGTTCCTGTTTTGTTTTCTAGGTTTGGAAGTTAATTCTGACTGTGACTTGAAGCCCTTCCTTGTGTTGATTTCACTCATTTGTTGCCAAAAGCTGGGGAGACTTGGGTTTTGTTGTAAGACTCTCAGCCTGTGTAGAAGCTCTGTGTTAACTGCACAGACAGCCGTGCTCTGTCCCTTTGATATATTAATGCCAACTGAGCAAAGGGCTGTGAGCTTTTTTTCCCATCGATAATTTTGGGTTTTGTTTTTCCTTAATTTGTACTGTTCAGGTATCCTGTTCTCATGAAACTTCTTTAAGAAGAGAAAAACCACTTTCATAACGTTTTGCTGTGGAAGTCTTAGTAAGAGACTTGGTTTTCCCCCTTGGTTTCTGAATGTTATAGGAAGAAAAAACGAAACTACTCAGGGTTGCTTCAGCCACCCAGTGTTAGCTGTCCTTCCTTTACTCTTGGCAGGAGAGACTGCTCTTCGGATTTGGACATTCTGGAAACCCAGTTTTACAGTTACTTAAGATGATACATTTGAGATGGTAAGATCCATAGCAAGACATTAGAGAGTTATCTTAAATTTCAGCAGTCTGTAAATAGCCAGATCACACATGGGTCCCTTACCTAACAGACAAAAATTTATTTGTCAGAAGAATCAGATTTTTAACTTTTTTCCCAGGCAAATAATACAGCAGAATGACTCCTACCCTGATTAAGTAAATGGCAACACACAAGAACCGTCCTAGAAAAAGAGTTTATCGATAATGTTGAAACCCGCTCTATAAACAGGACATAGTGAAACTGTGTTCCCACGTCTGGCCTGGTAGAGGGGCGTTTGATTGCTTGTTTCTGCATTTCATTCTTTCTGGGTGACTGCATTGGGGTATGCATATACCCTCCAGATTTGGGCTTCAATAAGTAGTTTACTCACGGTTTCTGGGCAGACAGTCCGAAACCACTGACCTTTGAATGCAGTCCGGCTGCTTCAATAAAGGGAACCTTCTTCTGCGTGTAAAGGAAGAGCAGACAGCAAGCGTTTGGCAGGAATGCAGCGAAACAGCTTTACAGCAGCAGCGCCACCTAACAGTGACAGGCTGGAAACGGCAGCTTGCTTTAGAAACCAAGGTGCAGTCTTCAGGGTTTCTGAAACAAGACTTTGACACCAAACAAGTGCTAGTAGCATCCTTTGGCCTAGTTTCTAGAATGAGGAGGGCACTCCAGTCTGGCACCTCATTCACACGTGGGATCCCCAAGCACTCGCGGGCCGTTGGGTTGGCCCAGGAAATGGACCCCTTGGGCCTCCGGTTCCAGGGGCTTCCTTTTGTCTTTACACTCCATGTAGGTGATGAAAGTCTAAGTTCTAAAGCACTTTGGTGACATGCAAGTGAAGTGACGGCTCAAAGAAGGCTTTAGTGTATGCCATGTCAAATACGTGACACTGAAGACAGTTATGAATGAATATTTTTATCGCTTTTAACTTATATTTTTGAATTTCCTTGTCACTTTATATAGCTTTTGAAGACCAAACTGCAAATACATTGCCAAGGATGATTTGTGTTGTCCTGTAGACTTAAATTTGACAAGAGTCAGCAGAATTTGTGGTAACCAACTGCTGTGTCTGAATTTTAAAGTAAGTTATGTGTTAGTAACAAATCAAGGGTTTTAATGATAGTTTTTACCGTCAGTGTGAGTGTAATTTTGAAAAGGCAACTATGAACAGTTCTACATGGAAAGCTTTCAGAGTGGCTTTTCTGTTACACGTGTAGCACACGTGGTTGTGAGCAGGGGGCACTGTGAGTCCTGCCTCCCGTACGTCACGCCTGATGCTGCTAGAAATAGGCGGTAGGTCTGTGCTTGATGCACCTGGAGGTGGGGCGAGCCCTCGGGACTGCACCACCAAGTAAACACAGCCTTTGTGTGGTCTGACTTAATTCCACTTGGGGGTGGGGACGAAGTTGATGTTTTGCTTCAGTCTTGAGGTTGTGTAGTCACAAGCTCTGAATCGGGAACTGCAGTCAAACAGTGCGGTGTGTGTACCATCATCTCGGAGGACTGCCCTCGCCACACTCGGTTGCTATGGTAGTACCCAGCGTGAGGCTGTGCAGACACACAGCGATGACGGGGCCCGACGGGATGTGTGAACTGGGGTCTGGAGGGCTGCATGGGCCGTCAGTGGTGCTGACCCAGCGTGCTCAGTGTAGTGGAAGGACTGGGCTGTGCAGAGAACGAAGGCTGCGAGAGAATATTGGTGGAGGGAGGAAGCACTCAGGCTTGGTTTGTTGTTTAAATTAATAAAACACTTGTTTTCTCGTGTGCGGGTAAATTCACATCAAAGACTTGACCAGAAATCTCCCTAAATTTGCGGCTTTTTAGTTTTTAATGCTATCTTTTTGCTTAATAAATACTTGCTTGCCTAAATGGCTTCCGAACAGTGCAAGGGTCTCTACATGTTTTATTTCTTAAAGTTCCATAATTAAAAGTGGTTAAGCACACAAAGCTATTTTCATTTGCTATTTTGAATTTTGTGACTATTATGAATTTAAATGAAATCTGTTCAGTGTTTCAGAGTTAATGTGGTTTTTTGGTCATTCTGTTTGGAATAAAGTGTTTTTGTTTGTTTTTTAAAGTCTCTCCCTATTGGTCATCTCTTGTGGGCGGGAAGTTTCTCAGCACTCTTGCTAGTGGTTAAAGTCAGTCTTCTCACCACTGATAGGCCACTTACCACGTTAACTCGACTCAGCCACTTCACGCAAGGGTGTACAGGCAGGACAGTCCTTTTCTTATCCATCTTGCTTGGTCAGAACAGTTCCATGTAAGTTACTTTTCCAAAAAGCTTAACTGCACAGCATTTAAACGTTTTTCACAACTGCAGTAAACCTTTCCTGCTGAATATAAACTTGGGAAATCTAGTTTGTCAGGGATTTTTGTTGGGTAAGGTCATGCTGACCCCCATGCTAAATGGTCTGGCTCTTTGTTTTGTCTTCGTAGGTGCCCCCATCTCTGCAGCTGTGCAGCTAACGGGTAGGGGAGCGTGAACTTACATTAGCTCTGCTGCATTGTTTACCCGTTCAGTTTAAGGTGTTCCCTTGTCTGATGGGTGAGGTTGCCTGAGCAGGGCTGCTAGGGGACGGAGCAGTTGCTGGTTAATACTTAGAAGATTCCAGTTAGGATAGTGATTTAACCCTGGAGGGTAGGGAATGTCCCAAGCCTTAAATGTAGGAGTGACACAAGGTGGGGGCACTTGCCAAAATGTCGTTTTAACCTGCCTCCGTTGTTCTGATTCATGGTAGTCCCACGTGACCACAGTGGGAAGGGTACAGGGCATTTCTCAGGGTGTAAAATCATTGCTTTAACAGCCAAGCTTAAAAGCGTCTTGAGTTGTCTGTGCCCTGGTAGGAGCTTTACTGGGAAGCCTTTGCTGGATTTATTGGTATTGTACCGACACTCCAGTGACTCACAGCGGGAGGGTTTCTGTAGCAGCACACCCTTAGTGAGAAGGTCGACCACACAGCATCACACAGGCAGGAACTAAGCAGCACCTTGGATGGGGGAGATGGTTCTAGCTGAGGAAGGCCCACCTGATGGAGTCCTGTGCTGAGCACGGCTGGGCAGAGGAGCCCGTCGTCAACCATCCATAATACCTGCCTCAAAGCGTTACGATTTCTCTCAGCTGCCTCCTTTATCTGCACAGAGGCATGGATCCCTCCTCCACTGCAATTGAAACCCTAACTGCATTTTACCAGTGGTTCCCAGCCGGGTCAAAGTTGGTTAGAAGTGCAAACGTGAGGGCTCCCACCTAAGACCACCATGTCAGAAACCCTGGAGTGGATGGCAACGTTTGAACAGCCTCTGAGTGATTCTGATGCACTAGATGGGGGCACACTCTTTCTGCTGGAAGGTGGGGAGAAGGATTGAGTGGGCGGGCCCAGTGCTGGACGTGAAAGGAAGACCTGAGGTTCCTGAGAGAGGGTGGGGTGCCACGGGACGGGGAATTGCCCGAAGCTTCAAGGAATGAGGGTTACATGCCACATCCAGAATAAACTCAGAACCAGTTCCACGGTATTACAGCAGGTATTACAAAGCAGCAGGGTGGGAGATTAGGGGAAAGGAGAGGAAAAGGCCCAGAGACCAGGACAGACGAGGAGTCAGCCACAGGGATCCAGGTGAGGAGAGGGAACCCAGGCAGGCCCCGAGCAGCAGGGCGGGAGAGCAGGAGAAAGGAGACAGACCCAG